TATATCTTAGTACTATTGTCGTCTTAAATGATTGATTGTTCGGTATAAAAAAATACGAGACTGTTCAATTCGAATATAGCCTTTTACATGTATATCTACTTATTCTCGTCATACATGTAATACTTTTCATTATCATTAAGGACCGGTACACACGGTAAGACTTGCCTTATAATAATGAAATCCACTCACACAAATTTCAATCTATTTTTTTTTATCAAACACGTGGGTAGATTAAAAGGAACTTTAAGTATATTCGAATAAGATAATGCAAATATCCGCAAATGCTTTTGTTCAACCTCCTCTTTTTCAAGAAGTGTGATTGCACTAGTCTGAAAAATTATTTCCTAGCAAGTAATCTATACTTCTATTTTAATGATGTGCACTGTTTACGCCTCAAAAACACGTGGAATTTATGGAAATGCTGTTTATAATCTTGTAAGTCATGCCTTAGCGTGTGGACGCTACGTCCGTCCTGCAAAATGTAAGGTTTTAGACTTGTAAGACAAGCCTTACCGTGTGTACCGGCCCTAACATCGACTACTACCGACACACGTTCCTGGGATAATTTTTTTTTAAGAAGACAAATTTGGTGTAATATTAAAATTAATTCAAATCCGTAAATAATAACTCCAATCTTTAAATAATAAAATAAAATTAAAAGTTTTAAAACTTAAGTTGTTACAAATAAAAAAAAATATCAAAGGGGGTTTGTATTGAAATAGGTCGGCCAAATGGCCCGGGTGGAGTGGGGGGGGGGATGTAGATCGAGTCATATGTTTTGGAGGGTGCATATCATTACCGCTACATTTTCAAAATTTTCATTACTGCTACATACTCATTACCACTACAAAAAAGATTACATTACCGCTATATTACCTCTACATTGCTTCGTTCATTAGCCAGCGGCTTTTTTTATGTACATATTGATTACAAGTACAACAAACACGTGTATAAGACCTTTTTTTCTGCTCACCACGAGGGAAGTGAATATAGGACTTTGAGAAGATTTTTTCTCACTTTTTATATAAAATCTATTTTATGTAATAAAACATTTTAGAAATATTAAAACAGAGAAATTGTTCACGGATAAAACACACAGTCTTCACAGAATTGATAGATCTTTGAAGGCCATTTGCTTGACGTAGGCCTACTGCTCTCTGGAAATCTCATCATTTTCTTTGAATATTTCATTGATGAAAGGTATTAGATATTATATAAATACTGCATGTAGTTGAGTGTAACATTTCAAATTTTCACCCCAAGAAAACCAGTATTTATTATATTATACTGAATGTTTTATTCAAATACATATTACAGTGAACCTTGCGCGCATGAATTCTGCGCAGTCAATATTTTTTTTGGAATAACACCCGTCGTCAAGCAATGTTAACTGTTGCTACGCTGGAGGGCGTGGCTCCATTATTCAGCGGGTAATAGTGTTTTTTAACAAATGTTTCTCGACGAATCAGATTCAATTAATTTACATGAAAGTATAATATACATGTATGGGAAATTGTTAAAATTAAACAGCAATTCACATAACTTGTCGTGTTTACACACGCGCTTTTGAAGAACTTCTTGAGACTATTGTTAACAGATACAGTACAAAGTAAAACAGGTGCCAGGGACGAATAATTTTGATCCGTCATTATACCGCATAAACGAAAAAAGTGACATCTTTGTTTCTAGTATCCGTGGACATCATATTATATAAATACTGCATGTATATAGTTGAGGGTAACATTGTAAATTTTCAAATGTTACCCTCTACTACATGAAGTATTTATTATTTTATTCTATATTATATTATTCTGAATGTTTTATACAAATACAAATAAAGCTGAAGCGCTCGCGCATAGATTCCGGGCGGTCTTTTTTTTTTTGGAGGGGGGGGGGATGATACCATCTGTCGTCAAGCAATGATGACTGTTGTTAAATTCTATCTGGAAGGCGCGGTTTCATCATTCAGAGGGTAACGGTATTTTTTAACAAATGTTTCTCGACGAATCAAATTCCAGTAATTTACATGAAAGTATAATACACCAAAATAACGATGTTGTATTTCCGAGCCCTCAGATACTCACTCTTGCTAAAATCTATAATACATGTATATAGGACAACGCTACTGGACTGACAAGCTCATTTCATAAGGCACATTAATGCTTTGTTTTACGTCTCCGGGCGAGCAGTTTTTTTTTTCCTGAATATTAAAAAACTTCCCAGAAATACAAATAAATCGAGAAGTAATACATGTACTTCCTTTGAAGAGAAGTGACTGATGCTATCAAAACAAAGCATGCATTAATTAGTTTTAAGCTCTACTTTTCGATTTTATTTGATAAAAAGATCTTATGCAATGGTAGTGTCCGTCATTTGTAAGTCTGGACTTTCAACTGTCTGATCTACTTGTATTTTTTCAAATTGCTTCTCCTCTTACAGTTTTGTCCGATTTAAATAAAACTTGGAATACAAGTAGCGTACGCTAAGATACACTCAGTTCTTTGTTTCGCTTTTTTATTTCAGTGAATGGAGTTGCCATGGTCACAAAAAAGAGAATTTCTGTGAAGTTCAAAAATGCAACACGATATCGCCAATCTTGTAAAACATATATTATAGGTATAGACCATGATACACATTAAAATTGCACTAGTCAACGTTGTAGTGGTTATCTACATTGATAAAATTTCTTAGATACCATTATGATCTTGATGACTGCATTCTATAGAACACATTTCAAAGAGGAAGGACAACAATTTAATACCCATCTTCAGTTAATGCGTTCATTCGTTGAACTTTTTGTTTTTTAGGGGGCGGGGGGGGGGGCACTGAAACTTGTAATTATCATTTTTTTAATTTTCATTTTGAATAAATAAATGATGAATTATTAATAAGGAATAAGGAATAAAATCAAGACACTTCAACTCCTGTAGCATGAAAATTAATTTAGTGAAAAGAGGTTTTGTGGATTTATGAACTGTTCTCCACAGAAGAAAGAAATAATCAAGAAAAACTGGTTTCTTAAGTATTTCCAAAATTTCTTTAATGGGGTTTGCTCTAAAGCCCTGGTTCAATCACACCTGTATCCAACCTTATTAAATAATATATTATTTTTCTTAACCCCTTCCATCAATATCATGCAAAGCGGGAAATTTGGAAAAAAGGGGGGGAGGTGGATTCTCATATAAGTACCCAAAACGTGGAGCGGGGGAGGGGGTGCATAACATTTTCACTGATTCCTTCGTTGAACGTAGGGCGGTCGCAGGAAGAGTGTGGCAAATTTTGGTCAAAATTTGAGGCATGTTACCGGATATTGCATGTGCAAACAAAAAATTTTTTAAGCTTGGTTACAAGTTCTAAAAAACTTTTGACCGACACAATCAAACATACATAGATATTTGATAAAATGAATATGAATTTACTTTATTAATTCATTTATGTAATGAGAATATTTTAGCACATTAAAGAAGACGGGCTAGGCTAGTAGATCAAATAATAAAATAGACTGAGATTTGAAATATAAATAGTGAATAAAGCCTTATCTCTTTACATATTTTCAAATTTGATTTAAAAAAAAATGATGAAAAAGTAATTGCAAAATAAAAAACCACCTGACCAGAAGGCCCACTTTAATCTTAACAAATAATTTCATTAATAAGTCGACTAATTCTGAACAATATTTGCATATAATATACTGTAACAGTTACATAGATATGGATGTATGCCATATACAACCAAGTACAAATTCAAATTACTTCTTAAATAGGTAAAACCCCTTATAAATACTTCAAAAGGAAAACTGGACCTTTATGACTATAGGCTTAATTCATCTTTTTCCATTAAAATCATTTATTATTTAAAAAAAATCAAACTCGCTGTGTTTCTTCAAAATAGGGTGTACTTTTTAAGTTCCTAAAATTGTAAGAATGAAATCTGAAGATGCCAAAAGCCAAAATGCTTGCCTGAGTCATTTTGTGTCTATTGCTCTTAAAAAGATTGTTTTTAAAGATTTTTCCCCTCCATATTCCCATGAAAAATGTTGACACCTGTATACATGTAAAATTTAAACCCTAATTTTAGTCCTTTTCTAATCCCAATGTCCATAATTTAAACAAAATTAAATATTGACACATAGATACATGCAAAATGAAAACCCTACTTTTAGCCCTTACCTAACCCCAATGTTTATAATTTGAACAAAATTAAATCTCTATCATAATGATGTTGTAATGTTGGCATATGAATTTGCTTTATGTCACCCTGCTAGTTTTTCACTTTTACATATTTTCATGCAAAACTTTTAACCCCTCTGCAGCTCTATCCTCACCTTACGGACAATGAAAAAACTTGAACCTATGTTCATTAAGAAAACTCTTGGATAACATTTGTCTTATATGACCAAGTTGTTCTTAAGGTATTCAATGTATAATGACCATATTCTGTACCTAATAAATGAATTGTCCAGTGTTTTTAAACAAGTTAGCATTTGAAGATGTTATTAAATAAAAGTACACCACCAAAGGAATTTACAAAATTTTGATTATTGTTCAATTACATGTAATTGCTCCTTGAATTTTACAATGAAGTCTATGGGCAGCGCATGTTTTGTTTAGATATTCTAAAAAGTAATTTGAACTTCATACAAATCTCTTGTGAAAATATGCATAAACTCTCTCCTTATTAAAATATGAAATAAAATAAGTCATCTGCTACAGATATATTGACAAAATTTGAATTTTCTTCTTTGCATCAAGGGCAGATAACTCTTGAAAATGTTTACGGTACAAAATGGTCAGTTTCTAATATGTTATCAGTCATGTGAATTTGGTTCATTTTACGTTCATCATTATCTAGCAATACATATTTAACTAGTTTAAAATGATTCAAAACTGCTCAACATTCCTTCATTATACATTGAATACCTTAAAATGAAAGATTTTTAATGACATTATCCCATTTTTCATGTTTCTTCATTATCTCCCCTTGAAAAAGGATTCAGCACCTTTATTTGAATAAGCTTTATTCCTTTTAAGCAGAGATACATTGTACCAAATGTGGTTTACATTGACCAAATGTTAGAAAAAAAAAAGAAAATGTTAAAAGTTAATGGAGGACAAACGGTCAAACATATAAATGTTGCATTGTTGGATACCAGAGACTTCTTTTTATCAGAATTGTGCAATTGAGCCTTTGGATAAGGTGAGCTAAATTCCAAATCCATGTTTTTTTAGCTATGGACCTCATTGTTTAAACAGGTGTATTATATCTCCTTGAAGTAATTAATGTACACCATATACAAATGTAATTTTAAGGCAAATCACTTCAATTTATTAATACTGGTACAATTCAGATCCGAATTCCACTGGCAACTGTCAAAGGCAATCTAGTCTCACTTATAGATGAATCAGAATGTTTTTAAATGTACTTTTAAAGCTTTAATTCACAGCAGATTTTGTTTAACTTCCAAGAAATAATTTTTCACACTGGCTGGCTCTCTCAGTTGGGCATTCAAAATGGCTGCATGATGAACACTAGGAACTTTCTTTTGTCATGGTTTTCTTCTTCAGCTCACCATCATGCATGCATCTATATTGAAATTAAATTTAAATGATCATTTAATCATGCATGTTTAAAAAAAGCACTTCAAATCATCAAATGCTTCCTGCATATATATATATATATATATATATATATATATATATATATATATATATATATATATATATATATATATATATATATACATATAACAGTATATTATTTGAATTTGGAGTTATTGGCAAGTGTAATCTGGTTCCCCTTAAAAATTAAAAAGGCTATAATTCTGTCAAAAATCAACAAAGTGGAATGAAGTGCAAACTTGATCTGTAACTTAATTATCAAGGTACACTCACATATACTAACAAGAGGCCCAAGGTCCTTAACGGTCACCTGAGTATAATACAACAATTTAGAAGTTAAATACACTGAGGGATGAAGCTTTGTTGCCCTAAAGCAAGAGAAGTAGGAAAATCAGGATCAACAAAATAATAAGTCTAGTATTCAGTATCTACTCATAACTTAAGTTCTAATCTGTCCTCCACTTAATATTATCACCATGCAGACTATTAACAAACTATTAGTGCTTCTGTACTATTTTTAAACCCATATTAAGACCTCTAGCATTGACCTCTCTTATGGTCTTTGAAGAACTTTTAATAAGATAAGTTATTTTTGTCTCGTTTTTATTTATCTATTACTTACAGGTCTACCTGATTATTAAAACTAAGAAAGTACTTTTTGAATTATACAATAAACATTCTTGCATAATTATCTTATTCTATTAACCTTTCAAAAACATTATTTACAGTGATGAATGGAAAAGGGGAATAACTTCTCTCAGTAGAATAATTAATAGAGCCCTGCCCAGGACCAGAATGCTTAGACGAATTGTCCAGATGTTCAAAAATCTGGTAGAAATACGCTTACTTATATCATTTAAACTTTTACACAGTTTGCTTTCGATATGCCCAGAAGCAGAGAAGAATTTCACAGGTACAATGCATTTTCACTACAGATTCAACAAAGCCTTACCCTAACACCAGAACCCAAGACCAAAGGTCAAGAAATTTACAAATTTGGAAGAGTTACCCTCATCATCATAACTATGGACTTCAAAGAATTAACACTTTTCCACTATATTATCAAAAGCCTCCCCCCCCTTCCTCGTTATGCCAGAACCCCTGACCCTAGGACCACAAGATTTAAAAATTCTGTTCGAAGCTCCCATCTTCATCAAAGCTAAGCAATTTATTTATCAGCTCAACACTAAGGAGCAAAGAGGATTAGTTAATGATTAATTAATAGAATTAATGCATTTTCACTATATAATCAATAGAGCCCCCCTCCCCCCCCCCTCCTCAAGAACCCCAAAAACTGAGGCCATGTATTTAAAAATTTTGGAAGAGGCATCCTTGTCTATCATAATCATGCACTTAGTTTGTTTAAATAATCTCCAGAAGCAAAGAAGAAGATTTTCATAGAATCAATGCATTTTCACTATATAATCAATAGAGCCCCGCCCTAACACCGGAACCTCTAACCCTGGGGCCATGAAATTCACAATTTTTAAAAAGGCATCCTTATGCATCATAACCATGCACTTAGTTTGTTTAAATAATCTCCAGTAGCAGAGAAGAAGATTTTCAAAGAATCAATGCATTTTCACTATATAATCAATAGAGCCCCACCCTAACAGCAGAACCCCTGACCCTGGGGCCATGAAATTCACAATTTTTGACAAGGCATCCTTATGCATCATAACCATGCACTTAGTTTGTTTAAATAATACCCAGGAGCAGAGAAGAAGATTTTCAAAGAATTAATGCATTTTCACTATATAATCAATAGAGCCCTGCCCTAACACCAGAACCCCTGACCCAGGGGCCATGGCTTTCACAATTCTGGAAGGGGCCCACCTCCTCATCATAACTATGTACTTAGTTTATCACCTTAATGCCCAGGAGCAGAGGAGAAGATTTTCAAAGAATCAATGCATTTTCACTATATAGTTGATAGAGCCCCGCCCTAACACCAGAACCCCTGACCCTGGGGCCATGACATTCATAATTTTGGAAGAGGCACTCTTGCTCATTATAACTATGTACTTAGTTACTTTATTTAATACCCAGGAGCAGAGAAGAAGATTTTCAAAGAATTAATGCATTTTCACTATATAATCAAAATAGCCCCGCCCTTACACCAGAACCCCTAACCCCGGGGCCATGAATTTCACAATTTTGGAAGAGGCACTCTTGCTCATCATAACTATGTACTTAGTTACCTTATTTAATACCCAGGAGCAGAGAAGAAGATTTTCAAAGAAATAATGCACTTTCACTATATGCTCTATATAGCCCCACCCTGGGGCCAGAACCCCTGACCCTGGGGCCATGAATTTCACAATTTTGAAAGAGGCACTCTTGCTCATCATAACTATGTACTTAGTTACTCTATTTAATACCCAGGAGCAGAGAAGAAGATTTTCAAAGAATTAATGCATTTTCACTATATAATCAATAGAGCCCCGCCCTAACACCAGAACCCCTGACCCTGGGGCCATGAATTTCACAATTCTGGAAGAGGCACTCTTGCTCATCATAACTATGTACTTAGTTACCTTATTTAATACCCAGGAGCAGAGAAGAAGATTTTCAAAGAAATAATGCACTTTCACTATATGATCTATATAGCCCCACCCTGGGGCCAGAACCCTTGACCCTGGGGCCATGAATTTCACAATTTTGGTAGAGGGCTCAATGCTTATTACAATGATGCCAACAATTTGACTGCTTGATGTCCAGGAGTAAAGAAGAAGATTTTTAAAGATTGCATTATTTTTGGTGGTTTTAGCCCCACCCCTCAGGCCCCAGGGGGGCAGGGACCATGAAATTCACAATTTTTGTTCCCCTTCACCCATAGATGCTATATGCCAAATTTGGTTGAAATTGGTTAAGCGGTTTCAGAGAAGAAGCTAAAAATGTTCAAATGTTAACGCACGACCCACGCCGACGGATGAGAACGGATAGCAATAGGTCAATGAGTGACTCAGGTGACCTAAAAATCAGCTAAATGTAGTAATGGGTTATATGTTATATTTTAAACTGTAAATAAATTGAATATAAAATAGTTTAATAAATGAACGCATTGCCATAAATAAATAAATATAAACTTAAACTCCATTTGATAATTACATTTACTAACCTTACTGCACATATTGTATGGTAATACTTATTTTAGATTTAGAGTTATCTTTTCATAGTTAGAAATCTCTAGTTTATTCATTAGTATATATGAGAACCAGTTTAGAGGTTAGGAATAGTCGATTGGCTATTCTTGTTTTGCAGAGATTTTATTGGTCGGTCATTGAGGTCACATTCCTTAGTGAGTTACTCTTTGTTCTTTTAAAATTCACTTTGAATCCAGCCACAATATTATATATATATAGATATTATATATTTCTGACTGGACTATAAGACCTGATCACAGTCCAGATATGGTTTAGATAAAGTAGCGGTAACACCTATGTATGCAGCCTAGGTCCACAATTTGGGCTGAATTATATATCTATAAAATAGTATCCACATCAGAATTAAAGAACCCTAAATTACAAACTGACCAGTGTTTTCATCATTCATGGGAAAACCCAGTTACATAAATACATGTATAGATCTGCGAGTGTTTATTTGGTGGCATATTTCTGCCCCCTACATGCAAGATAAATTATGTTAACATGAAGCATAATTATGTAGACATGCGATTTATCTATGTCAACATGCAAAATAATTATGTTAACATGTGAGATAAATATGTAGACATGCGACTTATTTATCTCAACATGCAAGATAATAATGTTAACATGCAACTTATATTTGTCAACATGCGACTTATTTATGTCAACATGCGAGTTATATATTTTACACGCAAGATGATTATGTTAACATGCAACTTATTTATGTCAACATGTGACTTATTCATGTCAACATGCAACTTATTTATGTCAACATGCGAGTTATATTTAAACATGCAAAATAATTATATATGTCAACATATGCATGCAAGATAATAAGTTGCATGTCAACAAACATATCTCACATGTTGACATAATTAACTCGCATGTCAGCATAATATCTTGCATGTTGACATAAATAAGTTGCATGTTAACATAATTATCATGTATGTTGACATAAATAAGTCGCATGTCTACATAATTATCTTGCATGTAAACATAAATAAGTTGCTTGTCAACATAATTCTGTTACATCTTGCTTGCATAATGTCATATAATGGCGTGCGTGAGTAAGTTTACCAACATTAAAATTAGATTCTCTCGAGAAGTTGGTAACTTGCATGTCAACATAATTATTTTGCATGTTGGCATAAATAAAGTCGCATATCTACATAATTATGTTGCATGTTAACATAATTTATCTTGCATGTAGGGGACAGAAATATGCCACCAATGCCCATAGTTTAGAAAAAAAAAATCCAGAAAACCAAGTGACAAAGACTGACAGACAGACTGAAAGACAGATAAAGGAGAAACCTGTAGTCCCCTCTAGTTTCACTGGTAGCTAGGGGACTAAAATAATTACATAATATGGTGTACAAATATTTTGGAGACTCTGGAACAGTAGTATATTCATTAATTTTAAAATGTACATCATGAAAATATTGATCTTAGTACATGTACATGATGTGTCATAAATATATAAAATATATACACTGTTTATATTATATATACCCTGTGCTGTAGAAAGTCTGTCCATTGCTAGAATTCATTCACCATTTTTTTAAATATGTTGTCAACTTGGTGTCTTAAACATATCCCTCTTATCAGTTAAACTTACACAATTAACATGATTAAATTTACACAATTAACATGATTAACTGACATGTAAACTTGCTTTCAACAGATTTTATCTAAAAATATCTCCTGATTTTATTGCAATTATAAATTCATAAAATTTATATGTCCTTTATTTGTCGCACATAGTCTCTTAATTAGGGGTGTATTAATTGTTACACCAGTATATGGAGATACCTTTCAACTGAAGTTGGTTACCAGTTAAAGGCAATCTTAATTATCTTTACTTTTTTTGTTTTCAATTTAAATGTAATTTTTTTTTTTGAGATATAGAATTTTGGATTACTGATTCTATAAACATGATAAATTATATTTATAAACAAACCATATTTCATAATGATTGAAGAATACATTTATTCTTAACAATTTTACAGTGGAAACTTCTAGGAATTTTTTTTAATATGCTATAGAACAGGTAGAACAAAAGTAAAAATTAAGTGATATGCATCAATATATATCATAAAACACAAGTCAAAATATTGTCGTCGCCCGCGTGGCACAGTGGTTAGAGCATCTGCTCTAGAGTCGCGGAGTAAGGAGTTGATCCTTACGTTGCTGGTTCAAATCCCACTGCGGGACGTGGAGACCGGTCCTTCGGATGAGACCGTATAAACCGAGGTCCCGTGTCGCAGTAGGTGCTGGCACGGAAAAGAACCCTCACTGCTCAATGGCCCAGAGTGCCGAGTATAGGTCAAAATTTGTAGCCCTCCACCGGCAAGTGGTGGCATCTCAATATGAGTGAAAAGTTCTCGAGAGGGACGTTAAACAACAAACAATCAATTAATCAATCAAAATATTGTCATGATTAATTTTTTTTGCATTTTGATACTCATCCCTATTTTTAATTAAATGAATATTTACTCTAGACTTTGTGTAAGTTTTGAATGAGAAAGCATTTATGAGATAAGACTCAAAAAAAAGCTAGTTGCTGATAACAAAACAGGAGGCCCATGGGCAACAACACTCACCTATTAGTCACTTTGGCCTTCTGTTCTGCCACAGATTTTTTCCCCCATATACATGTACTCCTATGTAAAATTTTGTTGTCTTTTGTGGCCCAACCCTATATATAGGGGCCATCATTTAATAAAAAATGAATCTACACTACCATAGGTTGCTTCTTACATTATTATGTTTCATCGTGGCTTTGTTGTTCTTGAGAAGAATTAAGCATTTTAAAGATTTATCCAACGTAATCCCTATTGTGGCCACACCCTACCCCCAGGGGCCATGATCTGAACAATTTAAAACCTACGCTACCTAAGAAAGCTTTCATCTAATTTTGATCTTTTCTAGTACAGTATTTCTTGAGAAGAAGATATTTAAAATTTTTCCTATATACCGTATATACTCGCCTATAAGTCGGTTTTTTGGGAGTTAAACTTTGGTCCAAAACTCATTATCCGACTTATACGCAAGTTATAAAAAAAACTGGTATTTTAGTGGGTCAATCCCTCTAATTTAAGCTGAAAAAAATACAACTTATTCCAGTTATTGATACTTTACTATTCATTATTTTAAACCTACTGGTATCTGAAAAGCTTTATTCATGCTGTACTTGGGTTATTAAGTAGATGGAAAAGGTTCATGACAGTAAAAGTAATCTATCTTTAAGATTTAACAAGTTGAAATTCAACAAATCATAACTTATTTCAGTTATTTAAACTTTAACCAACCTCACTTTAGAACTCTTGCACAAAAATCTACAGCTTTGCACAAAAAATGTAAGACATACTAAGAGATTGTACAGTAATATCCAAGGATTTTAGGAAAATTAGTCTTACTTTTGGAAAAAATTGGCGGAAGTTATATATATTTTGATAAATATCATCATATCTGCTCAGGAGATATGAAGTCTGTTGAGTATATTAATAGAAGTACATATATTTACAACTTTCTCAGTCTTACATCATCTTAAATCTGCAGCAAACTCAAAAAAATTGATGTTTTTTGGCAAAATTGATAGGCATTCTATGTTTTAAGAATTAACTCAAATGAGTTATTTCTTTGTTTAGTAATAAATAAGTGAAGTAACCTAAAAAAGTTATTTTAAAAAATAACTTGATTCCATCATGCCCCTGACTGTTCTACTTTTTATATATTCCCTGCTTTTTTCAATACTTAGGGACAACCCTCTTAATAGTCCAGTAGTCTTGAGAAGAAGATTTTTAAAGATGTTTTTCCTATAATATTTTCAATGTAAAACATCCATTCCCTATTGTGGTCCCACCCTCCACCCGCGGGGCCATGATCTGAACAATTTATAATCTAATATTCTGTAGGAAGCATTTATATAAGTTTCAGCTTTTCTGCCACAGTGGTTCTTGAGAAGAAGATATCTGAGGATTTTTCCTATATATTTCATTGTAAAATTTTCATCCCCTAATTTGTGGCCCCATCATGCCCCGCAGGGGCAAGATTTGAATAATTTACAATCTACACTACCTCAGAAAGCCTACATATAAGATTCAGCTTTTCTGGCTCGTTGCTTCTTGAAAGAAGATGTTTCAATGGCCCTAACCTATTTTTGCATTTCTTGATTATCTCCCCTTGGAAGGAAACTTGGCCCTTCATTTTAAAATTTAGAATCCCCTTTACCCAGGAATGCTTTGTATCAACTTTGCTTAACATTGGCCCAGTACTTGGTTCTTGAGAAGAAGTTGAAAATGTGAAAAGTTTACAGTTGGACGGACAGACGCTGGACAATGTGTGATCAGAAAAGCTAACTTGAGCTTTCAGCTCAGGTGAGCTAAAAACTGGAAAAGGGGGGGGGGGGTGTTAAGTCACACATGCACCTTGTCCGTTAGCTTTCATGAAAATTAAAAATATATGTACATGTATTTAAAAAAAAAATCAATGTGAGAAGCTACATGTAAAAATTAGTTAAAATTAAATGGTAGTAATTAAAATTGCTAGGTCATTAACAATCAATATAACTAATTAATATAAATGTTTAATTTACTTACCAATAATGAGATCCAAGTTCAAATAGCCATATTTCCAATGGTTGATTCTTTGTCATCAAAACTCCTAAAATCCGTCTTAGTCTCAACTCGCACATCTTCCTTGAATTTTTGAGAATCATGAGTTTTGTTAATTTTGTCACTCACTCACTCATGAGTTCAACAGTATTTTTCTGACTTTGTGGAAGTCTGAAGACAGTCCTTAGGATTACACTCTACTATTCTTTTTTCTCACACTCCCATGGACTTTATTCTGAATTGTGTCATATTTGGTTTCTCACAATCCTTAAATCTTTCTATTGTGGCTATCTATGCTTCCTTTAAACTTGGTTGATATCATGTGTTCTATGATCCACCACAAGCTGTAGAACAGAGGTCCTTCTTCTTACAGGGTTTGTTGATAAGAAATGTTCATAACTGAAAAGACAAATTGTTTCCCATCTATTAGAATTTTGCAGACCTTTACTGAAATATGAAGATTACAAACAGTATTTAAGCTCAAAGGTGCATTGAAACATTACTAATTGTGAGCATAGCAAACATAGATCTTTAAAACATCAGAGGTGGGATCAGTTGCCATGGAGGAATAAGCATACCCTGTCAACTGGTTACACCTGCTGTGAGCTCCTTGTCATAATAGGGAGAATGGATAAATCTGTTGACAATTCAGTATAAAAATAATGGCCTAACACTTTCTGTATGAAAAACATCAGTAAACATTTGACTTATGTGTAAACTATATTTGTTAACAAGTTCATTGTATCAAACCAGGGTTTGACATTTTCTTTTATGACTACTATACAAGTCGGGCTACTTCCCATAATTTTGACTAGCACTGACCGTAAAAACACTTAAGCCCCGACCAAACTTAATTTTTTTTTCTTTTTATAACCTGGTATTTTAGTGAAAAAAGTTCAAAACAATACTATCTCTCGCATGTATTAAGATAATACATTTTGTCAGACTTTTCCATAGGTCGCAGCCCATTGAGTCGGGTTAAACAGAACATGCAAATATTATAGGGCTGGCTTTAAAGAACATGCAAGGAACTTTAAAAAATTATTACCGTAAATATAAATAAATTAAAGAATATATTTTTCGATATATATATCGATATATATTATTCAATAATTTTCATACCAATTGATACTGAATGAAGCTAGTTTCGATCGCAAATTGTCTATTACAGCCAGGATAAAAATAAGGATTAAGTGTGTCATGCTGTGAAGTTTTCTTTTTCAGAGCGATGGCTGTGTTTACAATCAGAAAATTAAAAAATATTGTTTAAAAAGTTTATAGAACATTTATTTGAAAGACTGAAATGTGAGATAACATTATTTTATTCACACAACTAGTCGGTCTAGATCACGAACATTTGACACAACCGGACCACTCATTTACTAGACTGGGTCAGTTGGACATGCCTTAGTGTCAAACCCTGCAAACATAGAATTTGCAAAATGTTGGCTATACCTATACCTGTATACCTTGGCTATACAACTTATTTGCCAATAGCTTGCCCCATTTTAGTAATTGTTTGTACATAGTACACATGCTCTTGCCCTTTGAATCAAATGGGAGACATAAACTCCATATGCAGGTGATAATGCTACATAAGTAAGGTAAGTTAATAATTATAGAAAAATGAAAGTTTATAATAAAGTTTAGTTGTTACTTTGCCATTAATGTCTTTATCTAGTAAAATATTCAAATATGAAACAGATGCATCAGCCTCTGTGGTGTCTTTAATTTTGAGTTCAAAGGGATATACATGTGAATAAAAAAAAGTTAAATACATGTATAATGAACAGTGATCAATCTCAAACAATCTATAAAAAATACAAATCTGTGAGAGTCTGGATAAAACAAGGACCCCCTGGAAATCCCAGAGGTGGGATCAGGTGCCTAGGAGGAGAAAGCATCCTCTGTTGACCTGTCACACCAGAATAAATTAATGTAGGAATAAAAATGAATAATTACTATCCATTGAAAAAGCATCATCAATATATTTACATGTACATAATATATCTAATCATGTACCGGTAGTATGTATAGGATAGGAAATACAAAATATAATTATTTATAAAATAGTGTATTTTCAACTTAAGGTCATAATATCATTTGTTTCATTATATTTAATCATGTAAATAATGTACCTGACCACCAACATATGGCATGTGGCTTAACTGTGCTATAGTTAAGCATGTATCAAAATTTAATTCTAATTATAGCTTTGCTTGGTGTTCACATGGAGTTAATGCAAAGAAATTTAATGTACAGTAAATTAATTTGCATTATTCGCATTAAGGGGGGACAGGACACATGTCACATGATTGAATTGACTGCATCATAGTCAAAAGGGCTGACAAATAGATTTTTTAGGCACTTGTCTGAGGGCAAGTGCACAGTCAAAATTTAATTGCCCTACCTGAATTTTTGCTTGCCCCACCATCATGACCATAATCTAATACTGTATATATTTATATATATTTCAAAAAATAGGAAGACAAATAATGAGTAGATCATGCAAGCCCCTGTGTCTAGCTCTATTTCTATGACTTACTGGTACATATGGATTTAATTTTTTAAAGTCACTTGCCCACGGGCAAGTGGTTGATAAAATTTCACTTGCCCACCCTTAAAATTCACTAGTCACGGGCATTGGGCAATGGGATTTGTCATCCCCTTAGTTACTGTTAATGTAGGTGCTAAACGTTGTTAAAATCAGCATTTTTTGTGTAATTTTTGTTCAACTTGTTAAGCTTAAACATTTAATGTAAAATAATTAAGAGTTTTAAATGATCGTGTAAATATTTAAAAATTGTGAAATTGATCGATCCACCCATCTATTTCTTTATGCTACAGTCTAACGAGTCAGTGATGTCATATATGATCTCTCAGTGCAATGAGATCATGCAGGTATATGTTGGTTACCTGGTAAGACTTAGTCAGTTTAAAAACATAGAAACCATATACCTAAAGCATTAGGTCTATGATAACAGATCACAATCAAGGCATCGTGATGTATTTTTTGAAGCAGGAACTACAAAAATAATTTTTACGTGTTTAGTAGCAAAGATTTTCTGAATTAATATTTCATTTCGGTTGTATAAGTTTTCCTGTGACGTCACAGTTGTTTTTCCCGTACTCGGAAAATGTAAAGATGAAGCGTTTTTCCCACGCTTATGTATTGTTCAATTCTGTCCACTGTGATAATGAGGTAATTATCTTCACCTTACGATATTGCTACAGTTGATTACGGTACTATGAAGAAGGACTTCAGTTCAATCGTAAATCTTCAAATATTTATTGACAGAATTATTTCCCAAATGAATTTTTCATCGTTGAAGATGTCTTGAAAAGTATTCATCCAATCCATATACATTGTAAAATAGCAAAAATGCTTAAAGAATTTTAATTCTATATATATTCTGAATACTTGAAGAGATGCATGTCCTTATACATATTTCTTGTTTGTGCTTAAAAATTTCCATTTTAGACTTAGTTATGGACCCGTAAAGACGAAGAACCAAAACTATTTACAGACACTGTGAGGAGCGATTTTTGTATGGCGATATCACTTAAATAAGTCAAGAAATCTGAACGCAGAATTACTTTTAAAATGTGTAGGACATATTAAGTTAAAAATATACAAAATATGAAAAAAATTCATTGACTAGATTTTTTTCAGCTCAAGGCCCTGTTCCTCCTTAAATTCTCCGTGTGAATGTGGTCCAAATTTAATCTGCAGTAACTTACATTTAATTGGAATAAAACCCTCCTTGTGTAGAGGACATTAAATGTACATATCTCATACTGTACATCCTCATCAAAGTTTCACAACCAGTTCATACATATTCTTGTCAGCTGTCAAAATCACATTCGCATGATTAAAATGAAAGTAAACGTTAAGTTGAATACCGATCCCGATTAGAATCAAGACCAAGGACTGTTAAGGACCCTCTATCATGATCTATACACTAAATCAAAAATGTTTTTATTCCAAGATAAATAAATTGAACACTTTATTTACATGCTTTCTCACTCAAGTAAATGTGTAGAGATTTCTGTTCATCAATACTTTAATGTCTTTGAATATTTTTCTTAGGGTGTAAATATGCCATGTACCCTAGCTATATTGAACATGTTGAAATTCAAGAAAATAAAATAGATCTGATTAGGTCATTATTTATACCTTTATACAATATGATTTTCTCATTCAATTGTTAAGAATGCTTGCATTAATTGAAATTCAGTAACAGACTGTTAGGATTTCCCAGGGCAAATAAGTCTCTATCTCCATAAAATACCATAAAATCAGAGCTCTTTTGGTGTGCAGTATATACTACAGTGTTATTAATTTGTATGTGAAAACTGAAATTAAAATAATCATGGAGGGTAAAAAATTTGGGGGGGGGTTTACAATCTTTCAGATTTCTCCTAATTCCATCACAAAATATATAAAGAAAACTTAATTTATGCAATCTAAGTAATACACACTGTCAGATGATGACATTTCTTGCTCATTTGAAATAACATATTATATTCTTGGCACACAGACTTCTTCACTATCAACAACATGTTTACCTTTTAAGTTAAATTTTAATAATCTGGTTAAGTGGTAACAGATCTAGATTCTCTTTATTAACAAACTTCTCTTAACATAATTGTTCACTCAGGTTTACAGAGTCTGCCAATCGATATCAAACATTAATTAATAGAGTCCCTCTGAAAGATTATGAGGCCCTTTATATTTTTTGTTGTATATTTAAATGTCTTGTCTTATTATTTTTGATACACTTACAAATAACTTGTTCCTAAATACTAAATAATGAGTAAACTTGAGTTTGGTCTGGAATTACTGTGCCTTTCCAGTCACTGCACTTAAAAATACTAAATGCATCTGCTGTACGTTTTACTCACATTAAAGTGTTGGTTATATACTGTAGATCGAAGCACAAATTTTCGTGGGGATAAAATTTTGTTGATTTGAATCCAAGAAGGTTTTGTGGGCATTAAATTTCTTTGTTACGAATGTAACCCGACTCATTATACATGTATTGTAAAGTAAAATTTCATGTGGGGATTTAATTCTGATGATAATGTTAACAACAAACAACTGTCGAAATAAAGGAATATAATTCAATCTGCTTTTAAAGTATATATTGTATACCGATATATATACATGTATATAAAATGTAGCTACTCTGGCCTTTCTATTGATAATGTAGATAAGTGAGCAAAGTCATCTAGTGTGATTACATTTTTTATTACTTTGAGGGGAAGAATCATAAAAACTGTTGAAGTTTTTGATTTTTTTAATTTTAATTGCCCCTAATTAATCCTATAGGAATGTGGCCTCAGACCAGTGATCGAGTTTTCATAAAGAATGAATAGATCCAGTTTTACATACTGCCAATGTTAGCTTCAGTAATTTATGCACGATTAATACCATATTCCAAAAAACAAAAATGACTTTTCCCTGCATTTTCCAGTGCCTCATGTTAGAATCACGGGAGGGAGTTAGAAAATTTGCAAGATTTCAAACAGCTACACATGCTACATAAATCTCTATTATTTATGTCTCTATGACACCCTTGATGACAGAAACATTTTGAAGGATTTATAAATATTGTAAATGTTCAATCATAATTCCATATAACATAATTGTATTCTCTGCAGTTGGAAAATCTTTTCATTTAAATCTTTTTAAAAATCCCTGAAAGGAAGTAAATCTCTTCATTTTAAATTTCAGTGGTTGAATTATACCCCAATAAAAACATGATTGTATAGTGTGTACCCCTCCTTCTTTGTCTTTTTTTTTTGTTTTGCTGAAAATAAAAGTGTGCACATCATAAAAGAGAATTTATAGTAGTTCGTATTATTTTGTTTAATATATTACATGGTATGCCCCGACCACAACAATAGCCAATGGTGTTATAGTGTTAATTATCTGTCCTGTACATGTTTATAAAAATGGAAAATAGCTAAATGATGAAAATTATCGGTATGACAGTCAGTTGCAAACATCTTTTTTTTTTTTAATCCTATTTAGATAATTTTATTTTACTTTTTATCTGGACTATTATTGGTGAAGTTCTTTGTCTTTTAAACTGAACCTTTAATTTTTTTTTTTTTTTATACTGGCACAATTAGCTGATAACATACAGACTTAATTTTGAATTCATTGATCCTCCCAAATATTTGCCGGTCTTGGACCGACAGACTGTCATTAAGGTATTACATGTAAAACAGTACTGATTCATCATGTTCATGACAGGAAAAGGTATACAGATCATGCTGATACACAAACACATCATCATGAACACAGATCATTAGAACTTCAGGTAGTGTTTGTTTTTTTCCTGACGTAGCTTTTCACTATTAAATGAATATTATATAATTGCATTCATACCATAAACTTCTCCCTGCCGTGTTCTGAGTAGCCATGAACATTAATAATTTCTCATCCAAAATCAATGTTACTACCTGAAATGTATTATAATATACATGTAAGTTTTAAAACATGCATGAATTCCATGATAAATAGGGAAAAAAAATTAATTACTGTAACTTAAATTAGTAGAAGTCGCATCATATTCATGAATCATCACAGCTATATTTACATATTCTCTCAAAATTGCCCCAATGCAATAATGAGTGCATGTCAAATAAAATGACAAGTATCAATCTTTAAATTCTCACACATTAAAATTAGGGCATGTGACATGTCACTGTCTAAATGCACAGCATGTCTTTGACATTAATATCAACTTATAAAGCTGCACTATACCCTCAGTTTGCAAGGGCTAGAAGACCACGTTGAAGCAGGGACCTCTACATGCTTAACAATTATATCATTATGTCCCTGGGAGAAGTAGACAGCCCCCCCCCCCCTTTCATCATTTAAACTTGCAGGAATTATTTCTAATGTTTACGCCTCAGTCGTACATGTGTTTTTAGTTGACAGCTTAATATGTACACAATATTAACAATGATTTTAACAGCCCACGTACCTATATATAAGCCAGGCAGACTGAACGTTTCCCCGGCCCATAACACATGGCGTGACCGACTCTACTTTCGTTTTTAATATGAAACCTTCGAACTTTGCATGACACATAAACAAGATGCGAAACACAAGAAAACATTTAAAATTTCTGACAGTATATTGTGCTACACAATGCAAAAGATCAACGTTGATTTGAAATCGGCCCATAACACATGGCGTGACCGACTCTACTTTCGTTTTTAATATGAAACCGTCGAACTTTGCATGACACATAAACAAGATGCGAAACACAAGAAAACATTTAAAATTTCTGACAGTATATTGTGCTACACAATGCAAAAGATCAACGTTGATTTGAAATATGCTATTAGATACAGATACAGAAATAATTTCTCTCCGCGGGTACAACGTACATAGGTCAATACGGAATGTATGTGTTTACCTGACATCCAGATATAGAAAAGATTTCTTTATGTTTTTACTAACATTAATAATAATAACTTTTAGTTAATTGGTTTTTACCATTTATACTGCAATTATGCAACGATGCACATTGTAACTATACAGCATATACGTGCATGTATACATACCGTAGGGAAATTCTAGAGTAGACAATTAATGTCATAATGGACACATCTTTACTATTAATTCATAGGCCATATTTAATACATTAAATTTATTTAATTTATTTACAGATTTTGTACTTACCTTTTACAAAGTTGACTTCGTCCCCATGTACATGACTAAGTGTGAAACGGGTACTTTATTATGATGTCATTTACGACGTCATTTGTGTAACGAGCATGCGCACTTGCAATGTGTGTAAGTCTCGCCGAGAAGAAAAAATGATGGATCGGTGGTCATCGTATACACACTCATTACACAGATCTCATGAATCCGGTCAAATTAACACTTCAATTTTTCGAAATCGGATGCATCCTAGGACAGTTTCTAGTTGATTTATGACAAAATCCAACTGAACACCACCATTTCGTGTTCATTTGGATTTTTCCGTGTTCATTTAAACGTGTGCAGTCTAAAGCACGTGTCCAATTGACAGGGTTTACAAACACACACACCCTCACACACACACACACACACACCCAAACACACACACACACACACACACACACACACACACACACACACACACACAGAGAGAGAGAGAGAGAGAGAGAGAGAGAGAGAGAGAGCATTGCTGTATGTCGTTCAGCGAGCAAGATGTTTGTCATATGTATACTTAAGATATATCATTTTTAGACTTTTATTGTGATATGATATAAAGTTGGTCAAATCCTAAAACCACCGAGCAGAGCAGTGACCTATAAACAATTGATTTATTACTGCAAATTCATTTCCTTTTCTAAAATGAATTGCTGCATTGGTATCGTCATAATATACTCACTGGACGGAAGTTCTTGCCGATTTTCCATACCCTAAGGTACATTGCTTCATTGTTCCAGCCTTCAAGGCGCACTTGGATTTGAGGTTTATAAAATGGTATCCATGCTTTGAAAACAATTTTTGTGATAGAGTTTACCTTTGAGCTGATATTAGATGGGGTGCCTGGATCCATGATGTAAAAAGCCGTCTTATTCATGGGCTGAATTGAATAATTATCAATCGTTTTACATAGATGGACAATAAATAATCATTATGATAGTTTGGCAAAAGAACTTTGAAAGAATAATTGTTTGAATGATGCTATACTTTTATTTCACGAGGTATGTAAAATAACAAAAAAGAGTTTTACTCAATCATACATTATGAGAAAGATTCGTCCCAAATATAACTAATAGAAATAAAATTTATTTGAATGCTTACCAGAAGGACGGTCCTCACATTAAAAGCAACATGTCCAAAAAATTCTTTTCTGTTTGGTCTCAATAGTGTCATAATATAGTAATTA